AGTGGCAGCCCGACGGCGGGTTGAGAGGCGACGGGACTTGTACCCGCAGAATCGAACGTGCGGGGACAAGGTTAGCGCAAGGCAGGCTGAGTGGCAAGGCCCACGGTGGCACGGGCGGTAGCGATGCTATGATGCGCGGACAGGTATGGAGGTCGGTTGTGAACTCAAAACGTCATCGATTGCTGTTGGTTGTGCTCGCTACCGTTGCCCTATTCCTGATGCCAGCGACGGCGGCTTGCACGACGCCGGATCCGACGCCGGCTGCTCCCACTGTGCCTTCGGAAGCGGCCGCGGCGTCGCCTACGGAGACGGTCATGCCGGCACCGACGGCAACCGAGGCACCAGCGGCGCCGACGTTCACGCCGGTTCCTCCCGAAACGCCAGCACCGACCGAAACGCCGGCGCCGCCAACGAACACGCCGGCGCCGACGTTCACGCCTCGGCCATTGCCCGCCTCTACCCCCACGCCGACACGAACGCCGGGTCCCACGCGGACTCCGCGGCCGACGAGCACGCGGGCGCCGCCGAGTCCGATTGCGCACCTGGAGAATGGGGCGTGGTTAGATCAAAACAGGCGACCACGGGCGATGGAGTTGCGCTCGCTACCGTGGGTCGCGGACGGGGTTGACGAGTCGGAGAAGGAGGCGGCGGAGCTACTGATAGCAGCGGCGCGTTGGTATTCGGGCGTGTTCGACGAGTTGATGAAGCTACCGTGGGTCAGTGACAGCATCACGCCGGCCGAGACGGACGCGATCTTCGGGTTCCGGTGGATGCCGCGTTCCGTCCACGGGCAGGTTGACGAGGTGTTGGCGATGCCGTGGACGCAGGATGAGATCACGGCGGCCGAGGGCACGGCGGTCAGGTATCTTTACTTCGCCGGCCGCCACGTTCGCCCGCTGGCTGACAAGGTTCTGGAGAAGTCCTGGGTGCAGGATGACATGACTGCCAACGAGGCTACGGTGATCCAAAACCTCTATTGGACAGCGCGACCACAGGACGAAACCCTGGCTGACGAGGTAGCCGAAGCGTCCATGCGGATCCTCGATATGCCTTTTTTGGAAAGCGTGGAGGCGCCCGACGTGCAAGCGGTTCGGTCGTTGCGCAGGTTGGAATATGCGAGTTCGTCAAGGTTTTTTGAGATAATCGCCCATCCCAAAATTGCGGACGGCATCACTGATGAGGAGGCCAAGATCGTCGCACTTTTGTATGGAACCAACACATACCGTCCGGAATCGGTCAACGTTTTGTTGCGCGGGACTGGTGTGTATCTGCAAGAGCGCACCATCGAATTGCCTCTGTCCGGCGAAGTATTGCTGACCATCATCCGCATACGAGATCAGATAACGCCAAGCATGGACTTCTTAGAGCACAGCGTTCGCGCCATCGAAGAGTTTATGGGAGTTGCATTTCCAAATAACTATGTAGCCTACTATTTCGACGATGCCGTCCGGGCGACAGCCGGTGGATCGAACTTCGGGACGCACATCGCGTCCAAACTGCACTATGACGTGGAGAACGGCCATTCTTGGTGGAGGACGCCGTTTCACATGGCCCACGAGGTTGGCCATTACTACTGGGGTGGAGGTGGTCAAAAGTGGGTTAAAGAGGGGGCTGCGGATTTTCTGGGTTCAATCTCGGAAAACACTCGGGTCGACAAGCCCATAGAGACCACGCGAAACCCCTGTGCGTCTGCACAAGAAATTTCGCATCTGGAAGGGCTCGATGCCGAGTACGGAACCAACAAAGGCAAATGCTTTTATTCGTTGGGGGAGAGCCTATTCCATGAACTATACAAGGGCTTGGGCGAGGAGACGTTTCCGGCAGGGGTTCCGCAACCTGTACCTGAAGTCGTTGGCGGAGGATTACTCGGACGACTGCGAGGGGACGGACTTGGGGATCTGCCACCTGGTGGCGGCGTTCAAGGCGGACGCGTCGGAGGCCGATGCGGCGAAGGTGGATGAGATAGTGGCGCGGTGGTACGGCCCGCTGCCGTAGCGGGGGCCGGTCCGCAGGCCGGTAGTAGGGGCGATGTGCTAATATCTGCCCGTCAATAGCATTTGATTTCGACGCTCCGGAGGTTCCCTACCATGACTCAGAATACCGGCGCTTTTGAGGCCCTGCTGCAGGAAGACCGGACGTATCCGCCGCCCGCCGAGTTCGTCGCCAACGCCAACATTGCCGACCCGGCCGTGTACGAAGAGGCCCGCCGCGACCCCGAGGCGTTCTGGGCACGGTTCGCCGGCGAGCTGGACTGGTTCAAGCCGTGGGACACCGTGCTGGACTGGTCGGATGCGCCCTTCGCCAAGTGGTTCGTGGGCGGCAAGCTCAACGCCGCGTACAACTGCATCGACCGGCATCTGGACGGCCCGCGCAAGAACAAGGCGGCCATCATCTGGGAGGGCGAGCCGGGCGATTGGCAGGTGTACACCTACCGCGACCTGTACCGGGAAGTGTGCAAGTTCGCCAACGGCCTGAAAAGCCTGGGCGTTGAGAAGGGTGACCGGGTCACGCTGTACCTGCCCATGGTGCCCGAGCTGGCCATCGCGATGCTGGCGTGCGCCCGCATCGGCGCGCCCCACAGCATCGTGTTCGGCGGGTTCAGCGCGGAGTCGCTGCGGGACCGGATTGAGGACTCGCAGTCCAAGGTGATGATTACCGCTGACGGGGGCTGGCGGCGCGGCGGCATAATTCCGCTGAAACAGAGCGCGGACGCGTCCATCGAGGGCGAAACGCCGGTGGAGAAGGTGGTGGTGGTGAAGCGCACCGGCCACGACGTGCCCATCGTTGAGGGCCGCGACGTCTGGTGGCACGACCTGGTCGCCGATCAACCGCTGAACTGTGAACCGGAGCAGATGGACAGCGAGGACATGCTGTTCATGCTGTACACCAGCGGCACCACGGGCAAGCCCAAGGGCATCGTCCACACCACCGGCGGCTACATGACCGGCACCTATGCCACCAGCAAGTGGATCTTCGACCTGAAGGAAGACGACGTTTACTGGTGCACCGCCGACATCGGGTGGGTGACGGGACACAGCTACATCATCTACGGGCCGCTGTCCAACGGAGCGACCACGGTGATGTATGAGGGGTCGCCGGACTACCCCGACCGGGACCGGTTCTGGGCCATCGTGGAGAAGTACGCCTGCACCATCTGCTACACGGCGCCGACGGCGATACGGACGTTCATGCGTTGGGGCGAGGAATATCCCAACCGCCACGACATGTCATCGCTGCGGCTGCTGGGTTCCGTGGGCGAGCCCATCAACCCGGAGGCTTGGGTGTGGTACTGGCAGCACATCGGCGGCGGGCGCTGCCCGGTGGTGGACACGTGGTGGCAGACCGAGACGGGCGCGGTGATGATCTCCCCCCTGCCCGGGATCACGACGCTGAAGCCGGGCTCGGCGACGCAGCCCTTCCCCGGCATCGACGCGGCCATCCTGGACGAGCAGGGCAACGAGATTGGACCGGGCGGGGGCGGTTACCTGGTCGTCCGGAAGCCGTGGCCCAGCATGCTGCGCGGCATCTACGGCGACCCTGAGCGGTTCGTGCAGCAGTACTGGTCAAACTACGAGGGGATCTACTTCACCAGCGACGGCGCAAAGCTGGACGAGGAGTCCTACTTCTGGCTGCTGGGCCGGGTGGACGACGTGATCAACGTGTCGGCGCACCGGATCAGCACCATGGAGGTTGAATCCGCGCTGGTGGACAACCTGAAGGTGGCCGAGGCCGCGTGCATCGGGCGCACCCACGAGGTGAAGGGACAGGCCATCGTGGCCTTCGTGACCCTCAAGGACCAGGTGGCCGGCTCCGACGACGTGATCGCCGAGCTGAAGCAGCACGTCGCCGGCAAGATCGGCTCCATGGCTCGCCCCGACGACATCTACTTCGCCGCCGAGCTGCCCAAGACCCGCAGCGGCAAGATCATGCGCCGCCTGCTGCGCGACGTGGCCGAGGGCCGAGCGCTGGGCGACACCACCACGCTGGCCGACCCGGCAGTGGTGGAGATGCTGAAGGAACAGTACGGGGACGAGGACTAAGGTCACCGGCCGTATTGCGACGCATCGCGGCGCGAGACTTCTGATAAAGGCCCCCTCCGTCCCGGAGGGGGCCTTTATCAATGGGCGAAATTTGCGCCGGCTTTACGCGGCGGGGTCCGGGTTCTTCGTGCTAACTTGGTCGTCAGGATTGGAGATCAATCCCTCCTTGGACGTTGGATTTTCATCGGCCGATTGGCGCCAATTTGGACGGACACTTATGACTGCCACCGCGCCCTACAACAACCACAGCCTGGTGGGCGAGGCACTGCGACTGCTGGCCGCCGGGCTGGGGCCCTACGTAATCGGCAAGATGAAAGAGGCGGTGGACGCCGGTCGGTACGTTCCCGACGACTCCGAAGCGCTGGGCGAGATTGCCGCCGATGTCGCGGTGACTCTTCGGGTTATGACCACCGCGTGGAATGACGTGTTCCGCGACCGTCTGGGACCCGCGGAACGGAGCCTGGTGTCCGAGATCCGTGAGATCCGCAACCGCTGGGCGCACCAGGAAGGCTTCGACGACGACGACTTGGACCGCGCGCTGGATTCCGTAGGTAGGTTGCTGGGCGCCGTCGGCGCCGTCGATCAAGCCAAGCGCATCGACGCCGCAAAACACCGCCTGCGCCTGAAACGTTACGGAGCCGCATCGACCCCGGCGAACGGCGCGGCGGGTTCCGCATCCGACCCGGAGGTGCAGCCGGAACCCGCCGGCGAGCCGGCTGAATCACGACCGGCGGATCGCCGCAACGAGGCGGAGGCGCGGCCGGCCGCTGCGCCCAGTCCCGATGCCGGCAACCGGCCAGCTAATCCGGCCGTCAACGATGACGCCGTGCAGGAACACATCCTCAAGGGCGTGGAATACAGACGCCAGGAACACTTTGAACACGCCATGGGGGAATTTGAGCAGGCGCTGAGCATCAACCCGGAGCGGGCCGACGCCTGGTTCAATCGAGGCATGACCTGGGGAATCATGGGCGATCACCGACGGGCGATCACCGACTTCAACCGCGCGATCGCAATTGCGCCGCTGTATGCCGAGGCCTACAACTGTCGCGGGTACGCCCATTTCTGCCTGGAAGATTACCGGCAAGCGGTGGAGGACCTGGAACGGGCCAGTCGATTGAATCCGGATGACGAGCTGATCCAGGGTAACCTGCAGCAGGCCCGGCTGCGCTTTCTGCAACAGCCGGGGAACCCCAATACCGCGCGGCACGGCTTGGGACCCATGCTTTAGATAGCTTCGCAGCCCGCCTGCCGCCGGGCTGAGGTTTGCCCAGGTCGCCGGCCGCGCCTTTACTGGCGCGGCTGGAGTTCGTCCAGGTCTTCCAGCAGGGACGACATGGTCTCCGGGTCCGCGGCTTCGTAGCGTGGGCCGTAGTAGTAGCGCTGGAAACCACCGACGATGCGACCCACCGGCGGGTCGGGCAGGGTTTCCATGACGTCCTGGCGGTGTTCCTCCGGGGTCTGGGAACCGCGGCGGGGGAACCCGACGGCGTTGGCGACCTCAAGCATGCGGTGATAGACCTCACGGGGCGTGGTCGGCGGCGGCCGGCGACGGCGCAAGCCGGACATCCCGTGACATCCACCCGGCCAGCGTGTCCGCCATGTCCTGGCCGACCGTGTCCCAGGTGAAGATAGACTCGCGACTCTCGCCGTCGGCGTAGCCACCACCAACCAGCCTCCGGCGTCGGAACATGCGGAACAGTATCCAGCCGGCCAGGGACAAAGCGGCCAGAAAAGCCAGCCACTTGATAACGGTCATGATGACGCTGGGCGGTCCGTCTCCCTCGACCTCGCGGAGGACTGTCGTGGAACTCCTGGATCTGGAGGCGGGCCAGTTCGAGGCCGCTGAGATCGCCGCCGCCGAAGAGCCCGGAGAACCAGTTGCCCACGGCGACGAGGCCGGCCGCCAGAAGACCCAACAGGAGGAGAATCGGCCGGAGCGTCCAGAGGCCTAGGAAGGCGACTCCCTTCAGGATGGTGCGGGTTGCACTGTCGAGCCCGCCGACGCCGATTGCTCCCAGGATCACCGCCAGCAGCAGCACGCCGCCGACGCTGAAAAGAATGGCGAGCATCCAGCCGCGGTTCATGGGAGCGGCGCCGCCTTCGGCCGCAAACCGGCTGATGGCGAGTCCGGCAAGGCCGGTGGCGAAAAACACCAGCAGCACCGGCAGGCGGATGATCGTCGCCGGCAGCAGGGTGTCGGCGGTCACGGCAACGATGACCACCACCACGCCGCGAACGAAGGCGTTGCGAATGACGTCCAACGTGACGTCGTCGCGGGCGATGGCAGTGCCCCGCCACCACAGCAGCAGCATGAAGATGGCGGACAGACCAAGCGCCGCCGCCACGCGTAAATCGCCCGAAAGCACCTGGCCTATGGGGAACCATCCGGCGCCCATGCTGACGCCGGCCAGAACCAGCACCGATACCCCGCTCAGGGTCAGACCGATGACACCCCTGAGGTTGAGGGAAAAGCGGATGGTCTGGACGTACCAGGACAGGATGAACGACCATCCGATGGCGAGAATGGCGATGCCCAGCGGAACGGAGGCGTCGGGCAGGCGGATGACGTTGGCGAACAGGCGGCAGGCCAGATACACCGTGAAACCCTCCAGAAAGAGGGCGATGCCGGCGATGAGAGCGGAGCGAGCGAAAACGCCCATGGGTATTGCGGCCGGCGGGTCAGCGGTGATCCGCGGTTTCAGGTTGATCCGCGGTTTCAGACGGAACTACGGTGGGCTCACCTTCGGGATCGCCCGTCCAATCGTCGCGCCAGATGTCCTCGAGGTTGGCCAGGCTGGAGCCGGCGAGGAACACGGGCACGTCCGAGGACAGTTCGGCCGCGGCTGGCCCCGGCGGGCCGTCTCCGGCGTAGAACACCACGACGCGATTGCCGCGCCGGCGAATCTGCTCCGTCTCGTGGACAACCGCGCGGGACAGTATGGCGGTCACCACCACCACGGTGGCGTCGGAGGCGAGGGCGTGGGTCTCGGTGCGCAGCACGGCCGACAGCTCGGCAACCCAGAACGGACCGGCCATGGCCAGGGTCTCCAGCACCGTCTCCAGTTGCAGGCTTCCGCCACCGGAGGGCACCGACATCCACTTGCTGGAGTAGGAGGCGACGGCGTTGCTGACCATGCCGAAGGTGTAGCCCTCGCGCTCGGCGTATTCGGCCACCGAGGCGGCGACGGTGACGGCGCGCTCGAAGAGCCGGCGGTTGCTGCCCTGCCAGGCAGAGTCGCCGGTGCGGGCGTTGAGAGCGATGAGCATGTGCCGGGTGGCGGCCGGCTCGAAGATGCGGGCCTCGACCTTGCCGTGACGGGCGGTCGCCTTCCAGTCGATGCGCTTCAGCGGGTCGGTGGGTCGGTAGTCGCGCAGGCCGACGAAGCGGCTGGGGTCGTCCTGGATCAGGCGTCGGCCGCGGCTGGCGCCCAGGGGCCGCTCCCAGAGGACCATCATCTGGCGGAGGTCCACGATGCGGGGATAGACCAGCAAATATTCGACGTCGGGGACGTGTTTTTCGGCGGCTGAGATGCCGAACATGTCGCCGCTGCGCAGCCGGGCCGGGCCGATGCGATGATTGCCGCGAGCGCGGCAGCGCACCCGGTAACGCCAGGTAACGCGCTGGTAGGGAAGCAGCGACGTGGTGATCCGGTGGTCCAGCTCCGCCTCCGCGCCCACGCCGCGCTGGTGGGTGCCTCCGGTCTGGAGCCCGATGGGAAAGGTGTCGGAGATGTCCAGCCAGATCATGGGCAGGATCTTGCCATTGTCGACGGTGATGTAGTAGTTGACCACGTCGCCGATGAAGGCGCGGCGGCGCTCCAGGCGACGTTGGTAGGTCAGGCGGCCGAAGGCATACCGGGGCCAGTGCTTGCCGGTGATCCAGATGAGCAGGACGAGGACGCCGACCACGATCAGCAGGAACTGACTGGCGAGAAGACCGGCCAGGATGAGGATGGCGGCGGCAATGACCCACAGGTCGCTGAGCATGGGCGCAGGATAACCGATTTGGGGATGCCGGTCATCCACGGCGCGCCGGGCTGCGAAGATCCCGGGCTCGACGGAACCGGAGCAGGGTCAACCCCGGTGGACCGCACGCACCGGAGGTTGGAGGCTATCGGAACTCGATGACCCCGCAGGTCCGGGCCGGCGGACTATGCCGGGGTGCGTTGTCCGGTAAGCTCGGCGATCCTGGCGCCGGGTCGTTGGTCGCCGATGGTCCATACCAGCACGGCCGAGATTACCAGCAGGACGATGTTGGTCCAGATGGCAATCTCGTAGTTGCCGCGCAGGTCGAACATGTACCCGCTGAGCGCCGAACCGATACCCGAACCAATGGGCATCACCGCGAACATCATCCCGTAAATCCGGCCCAGGTGGGTCGTGCCGAAGCTGTCGGAGGTGTAGGCCGCCGTGATGCCAACCACTGCGTTCCAGGAAAATCCCACCAGCACCATCCCGATCACCAACGGCACGATGCCCAGGGGCGGGATGCTCAGGAACGGAACGCCCATTGACAGCAGGACGACGACGAAACCCGCCATGCGCAACTGGTATGACGCGGCCAGCAGCCGTCGTCTCCCGTGTTGGTCCGAAAGGTGCCCCAACAACAGCGCGCCGACGATGGCCGTGGCTCCAATCAGGCTGAACGCGCCCGCCCCCACCAGCGGGGAGTAGCCCAGGTCGCGGGCGTAGGTCACGAAATGAGCATTCACGAAGCTCATGGAGTAACCTCAAACGAAGTAACCGAAGGTCAGCCGGTAGAAGAACCCGGTGCGCATGGCTTGGCCAAAGGTCAGGTGGTCCTGCTGCACCGCCGGATTCCGCGAACCACCCGCGCCAGGCCCGGCGGCGCTGTCGGGAGTTTGGCCGTAGGGGAGCAGACCCGCATCGCGGGGGTGGTTCTTAATCAGAAACGCCCCAACGGGGAAGATCACTATCAGCAACAACAGGCCCAGGAAGAGGTAGGCTTGTCGCCAGTCGAGCCAAACCAGGAAGGCAGAGGTGGCTGGCACCAGCAACATCGCGCCCAGGGAGCCGGCGCCGCCGGTAATCCCCAGGGTCAATCCGCGCCGGGTCAGGAACCATTGGCTGACTATCTTGGTGAGGATGGGCCCGGTGCCCAGGGTGATGCCGGTGCTCATCACGCCGAACACCAGGTACAACTGCCACAGCGTGTTGACCATGGGCAGCAGCAGCAGCATGAAACCCATGATGACCACGCCGCTGAGAGCGGCCCACTTGGCGTCGTACCGGTCGGCCAGGTATCCGGCCAGCGGCCGCAGCAGACCCGAGATCATGTAGGTGATCCCGAAAGCCAGCGACAGGGTACCCCGGCTCCACCCAAACTCCTCGGTCATCGGCTGCAGAAACACGCCGAACGAGAACTGGCCGCCGGACACGCCCAAAACCACCATGGCGCAGCCGAAAACGACGAACCAGCCGAAGTACGTGTTCCTGAATGACGAAACCATGGCGGTTGCTGATCATCCCCCGATGCGCGTTTCGCTCATGCTTGGCATGCGCCGGGTCCCACGCCTCCATGGGCGTCCGGTGGCCGCAATAGTAGATGCACCGACGACGGCGCGCAACCGCAATCGGTGCGCGCACACGAATGCCAACGCCGCGTCGGGTGCCGGTTGGGGTCATTCGCTGGCAGTGAAAATGTGCGGAGGCGGACACCCATGCGGGTGTGAGCCGGAGCGTCGTCCGATGCGGCCTATGGTATGCTGGTCGGCAGTTTGAGCGGGAGGGTTTGGAGATGGCACGGGTTCCTTACGTCGCACGGGAAGAGCTGGACACGGACGGGCAGACGATTTACGACCGCATCCGGGAGGACCGGGGAGCAGCGGACGTGGGCCTGCAGTTCCGCGCCCTGCTGCACAGTCCGCAGGCGGCCGGCCACCTGACCTCGATGGGGGCAACGCTGCGGTTCCAGTCGGCGATGTCGGACGATCTGAAGGAACTGGCCATAATCCTGGTGGCTCGCGAGTGGGATTCGGGCATCGAGTGGACCGGGCACGCCGTGGCCGCCGCCAACGCCGGCGTGAGCGCGGCAGCCATTGAGGGCATTCGGACGCGGGAAGCGCCGGATTGCCTGGAGGGTCAGCAGGCTGCCATCGCCCGTTCGTGCAGCAGATGATCCGGGAAAAGGACGTTTCCGACGAGAACTTTGAGGCGGTGCGGGGGTTCCTGGGAGATCGTGGTGTGGTCGACCTCACGATGACGGTGGCCTACTACTCGGCTCTGGCGCTGGCCCAGATCGCGCTGCGTCCGGAGATGGGCGGCGGGCGAGAGTCCACGCTGTAAAGCGCCTCTTGGGGCGCTGCCGGCTACGGGCGGCGCGCCGAGTTGGATGGCCGGGCGATGAGCAGCGCAACCGCGGACAAGTTATTGGGCCGGTTGGCCGGCCTGCTGGAATGGCATGGGCTGGGCTCGGCCGCGCTGACGCCCCGGCCTCGGGGCGGACGCCTTACCGGCGAGGACGCTGACGAAGTCGCCTCGCTGCTTGACCAGTTGGCGGAGGCGGATGCCGGGCTGAGGAAAGGACGCAGCCCCAGCAGCCTGATCTTTGGCAACGGCTGCTTCGCCATCGGTCGATACGCGGAGGCGTACACCGTGTTCCAGGGGATGACCACAGAGCGCCCAGATGACTTCGCGGTCCGGTTCAACCTGGGCGTGACCTGCCTGCGACGACGAAGGCCGGAAGAGGCGGTGAGCGCCCTGGACGCCGCGGTGGAGCTTGACCGGTTCTCCGCGCCGGCCTACTACCAGCGGGGCAACGCCAAAGATGACGTTGGCGACCCGACCGGGGCGCTGGAGGATTACGCGGAGGCTGTCAGCCTGAACCCGGTGTACCTGCAGGCCTACTACAACCAGGGGATCGTAATGAACAACCTGGGCAGGTACGCGGATGCCATCGCAGCTTTTGACGCAGTGGTGACCCTCCGCCCCGACATCTCCAACGCCTATCTGAACCGCGGAGTGGCGCGGGACGAACTTGGTGATGGAACGGGAGCGGTGGATGACTACGACGAGGCGCTCCGGCACAACGCTGACAACGCCGACGCGCGGTTCAACAAGGCTCGGGTCTGCTACCGACTGGGGCGGTACGACGACGCGGTGACGAACTATACCGCCGCCATCGAACTGCGGCCCGACGACGTTGAGGCGATCAACAACCGCGGGTTGGCCCACGACGCCCAGGGGAAATACGTGGAGGCCATCGCCGACTACGATGCGGCGTTGGGCCTGCGGCCCGATTTCGCTGAGGTGCTGAGCAACCGGGGCGCGGCGCGGGAGAGCCTGGGCGAGACCGAGGCGGCGCTGGCCGACTACCTGGAGGCGCAGACGGTGGTGCCCGAATTTGCCGCTGCCTACTACAACGCGGCGCGGCTGTACGCCGACCAGGGAGACATCCCCAAGTGCGCGGAGCAGCTAACTGAGGCGGTGCGGCTGCAGCCGGGGTTGTACGCCGAGGCGGAATCTGACGAGATGCTGGGCTGGGTGCTGGATCTTTCCCGGTTGAGGGACGAGCGGCAGGGCGGGTAGCGCGCTAGCTGTACTCGTCTAATTCGGTGTTACGTAACCAGCTCCGAAGCACGCGTAGCAATACCCCCGCCAACCACCCGATACCTCCCAGAGCGCCTACTATCCCGAGCAATCTATCGACGGTAAAGTGGTTCCATAAAGTCAAGATTACAACGACGATAAAGATGCTTCCCAGTACCGCCATTACCAAAATGAGCGTGGCGGCAACGGCTTGCAACCCATACAGGTAGAGCATCCGAAACTACGTTCGGGGCTTGATATTGAACACCAGCACCAGGCCGGAGATAGCCATGGCGAGGCTGGTCACGCCCATCAGCGCTATCCCGGTTATGATCACGGGGTTGGTTTGCAAAACGTAGTGTCCCAACAAGAACACTACGAGACTGATAGAGTAAGCTATCAGTGCGGTCGTGAATATCTTGTCCCACATGGCCCCGGTCCCCACAGATGTTGCTGCAAGGATAGGTCGCCGTAGAGGAGGAAGTCAACTTTAAGACCGCGGGCGATGAGCAAGCTATGGCGTGAAGGAAGGCGCGGGAGCGAACCGGAAGCGGCGCTCAAGTCGGGCGCTGGGTCTCGCTCTCGTCGTCGGGCGGGAGGACGTCGAGGAGGATTGCCTCTTCGCTCAGGCGGGCGGCTTCGCCAAGAATTTCGGGCCGGTCTTCAATGAGGATGTCGGGATCGATGGCGGCGACCTTGTCGGGACGGTGGTCGGCATGGGTCAGGATGTTGTGGGTGATGACCACCATGGCCAGTGCGGTCAACCCGAACATGACGGACCAGCTCTGCCCGTGCAGGGTGTTCAGGGCCAACATGACCCCAAACCCCATGAATATGCCGATGGACGAACGGAACACTGAACGGCGGAAGAGCAGCACGGTGACGATACCGACGGCGATGCCCAGCAGGATGTACCAGCTGAGGTAGGCCAGGGAAACGCCGACCAGCACGACCATGCCGTCTCCGCCCTTGAAGCCGGTGAATATGCTCTTCCAGTGACCGGCAATGGCGGCCGCTCCGGCGACGATCGCAGCCAACTCGGGCACGCCGAGCATCCAGGCGACGACCACCGCCACTGCTCCCTTAATCACGTCGCACGCGAATACCAGCATCCCGCGGCGGCGACCCACCTGCCAGAACACGTTGGCGGTGCCGGCACGACGGCTCCCGGTGGCGAAGATGTCCACGCCCTTGAGGCGGGCCACCAGGTAGGCGAAGGGAATGCTGCCGAGGAGATAACCGACCAGCGCCGCCGCGAGCACGCGCGGGATCAGAGGCAGAAGTTCGTCTAAAAACATTGAGGGGATTGCGGCCGGCCGGATGGCGCAGATGATAGCACAGGGGCCGGGCTCAATCCGGGTTGCGGCCTACGTATAACCAGTAACCGATCTGTCCCCGGGAAACCGATACCTCGACCCGGTCCAGTAAGCCAGGCGCGGACTCCGCCAGGTCGGAGGGCAGCTCGCCGGCGGTCAGGGCGCCGCTGCCGAGGGCCAGCCTGGCCCGCAAGTCGGACAGAAGGGCCATCACCTCTCCAGACAGGTCTTCGGGTTCGCCCGTGATGAAGCCGGCCTCCTCCAGCAGCCGTTGGTAGCCGTTGGCGGGAAGAGCATCGGTGAGGCAGAGCATCATGCCGACCGTTCCGTCCAGCTCGGGCGGCAGGCTGCCCGGCTCCACCGTCACGTCGGAGATGCCGACGACGCCCCCGGGCCGGAGCAGGCGGCGCACCCGGGCGATGGCGGCGGCCTTGTCCACGAAAAGGCTGGTGGCGCACTCGATGATGACTGCGTCGAATGCGCCATCGCGAAAGGGCGGCAATTCCGCGTCGCCGCGCACGAAAGCGACGTCGGCAGGGACGGGCTGATCCAGGGCGCGCTGCCGCGACGACATCGACGCCTCCGCTCCCAGTTCGAGGCCGGTGACATGACAACGGAAAACCCTCGAGATGGCCGTTGCGCTGGTGCCCAGGCCGCAGGCGAGGTCCAGCACGCGCCAGCCGGCCTGCAACCCCATGGCGCGGCCCAGGCGGTTGGTGGCGCGCAGGCCGCCGGGATGCAGGCTATCGCCCAGGATGAGGCGGGCCAGTTCCGATGAATAGAGGTCGGCGCAGCAGATCTTGGCGGCGTAGGTGTCGAGCATCGAGCGCGAGCCTTACGCCTTTTCTTCCCGGTTGCGCGAGACGGCCAGGACCTTCTGCCGACCCTGGTCCATCGTGAGCTGCTCCCGGATCTGCTCGCGGTAGCCGACGGAGTTGTAGGCGCAGAAGGGGATGGCGCGGCCGTCGGGCGTGAGGATGCCGACGCAGCACTTCATGACCTGCTTGACGTTGAAGGTCCAGGCGTCCAGGAAGTCCTTGATGGCGATCTGGAAGACGTGGTCCTTGAGGTGGTTGATCTCGTAGGGGAGGTCGAGGCCAGGGCCGCAGGCGCACTCGAACTGGCCGGCGGTCTTTTCGGTTCCGGCAACGGCGGAGGCGGACCAGAGGCCCTCCAGGGCGGTCTGGATGTCGGCAGCGTTGGGGGGCTTGGGGAGGGCGCGGTTGGTGATGTAGTCCAGGTACTGGTCGATGTCCAGTAGTCTCGGCAAGGGCGTGACGGTGTCGCCGTCGACGAAGAGGTAGGAGTTGACCTGACAGGTGGGGAAGCAGCAGGGTACGGGAACGAAGTCCTCCAGCACAAAGCGGCCGTTGGTCTGGTCGACCACGCCGTGGATGATGTCGGGGATGGTGACGCGCGTCATGGGGTCGAACTCGATGTGGCGTCCGACGTGGGTGACGGGCTGGAACACCACGCCACGCACCGCCGGATGCTTCAGGCCGAACTCGACGATGCCGCCCACCTCGTCGGTGTTCACATCGCGCTCGATGGCCGCGACCAGCACGGCGGTCATGCCGGCTTCGGCCAGGCGGTCAAGGGCGCGCATCTTGGTGTCCAGCAGGGGTTCGCCACGGATGGTCAGGTAGGTCTCCTCGCGGAGGCCGTCGAACTGGAAGTAGACCACCGGGTCAAGGGCGGCCATCTGCGCGAGGAAGCGGTCGTCGCGGGCCAGGCGCACGCCGTTGGTGTTGATCATCACCTGGCGGATGCCGCGGTCCTTGGCGGCTTGGATCATCTCGGGAAGTTGCGGGTGGATGGTGGGCTCGCCGCCGCTGAACTGGACCACCTCCGGGTCGCCCTCGATCTCCACGAAGCGGTCGAGCATGGACTCGACCTGCTCCAGCGTGAGGCTGTAGCCGGCGCCGGCGTTGGCGAAGCAGACGGGGCAGTTCAGGTTGCAGGCGGTGTTGACCTCGATGAGGGCCAGGCAGATGTGCTGCTTGTGCTCGGGGCAGAGGCCACAGTCCAGCGGGCACCCGTCCTTCACCTCGGTGCTGAAGTCGAGAGGGATGGTGCCGGGCTTGTTGAACCGGACGCTGCCGACATACATCTCGGCGTCGGAGCTGATGATACCCTCGAACCAGCCGTGCTCAGGGCAACGCTTCCGCATGTAGACCTTGTTATCGCGGATGATGATCTGGGCGTCGATGACCGCCTTGCATTCGGGACAGATGGAGCGGGTGAGTTCGTGAAAGATATAGTCGGCGTCCTGCTTGATTCGGTTATTGGAGGTCAACTCGGTATGCTCCTTATTCCGGAGGATTGGTCAGTTGGTTGCCGTTGTGGATCGGGACATAGGTGACGCCGAGATCAGCCGCAAGATCCGAAGCATCGGGATCAATTACGGTCCCGGATACGACTGGGATCGCTTTACCATTGATGTGACGGGGTTGATATTGCCGAATGATCTCGCTCAATATGCCTGCTTGGTCAAACGCCCTTTGAACGTCGTGGGATTTCACAGCGAAGGAAACCTGCACTAACAGGCAAGCGGGAGTGTCATCGGCGTCGGTGCGGCCATAAAAATAGACGTCGGCGCTGGTAACGCTGGCACGTTGGTCCCTGTTAATGATACCGCGTTCGTGCGCGGCGTTAGCGATGTCGATAATAGTGGTCGTAGGGATTAGCTCTGCGCTACGTAATTGGAGGCCGGCGGCGAATAGTTCGGGATGTCGTTCGCACAGATTCTCCAACCCCCAACCCTTCAAGGTCGAGACATCGTTGGACGTATGGTTCTGCTCGCTACGTAGCTGGTTGACGGCTGTGGACAGTCGCCTAACTGTTTCAGCGTTCTGTAGTTGAACGGCACTCAATTCTGCGATCGCCCGGGCGTTTTCCGCCTGCAACGAGAGAATTTGGGCGAGGGTGATGTGTTCAGATGCGCCGTCTGGTGGAGTTGGATCGGTCATTAGGATTTGAGCCCTGGGCGGAATCAGTTCCGTGCGACGAGGTTGCGAAGACTTGCCAACCCCGCAGACAGTGAACCGCCGTACGTTCGTATCCAGGTAGGCGGGTTCTTAGGGTCTATGGTTATCCACGCAGTGTCCGTACCATGGATTCCCCCATGTTGTGAACGGATCTCGCCTGAGCGCCACAACCGCATGATTTCTTCTTTGGGTATGGCCCAACAATGCGCGTCGAACGGACTGATGCCCAAGCACACGAGCACGCGGTAATTTGGTCCCTGATTTGTTGGAACGTATACGTGCCGGTTTCCCACAGAGTGGAGCCTTTGACTTCCACGCGAGCACCGGAAATCACCATGTCTGCGTCGCTGTGTGGAGACGCTGAAACATCAGGGTCGCTCTCCGCACACAATTCTGCGACCAACTTTTCGAATACTGCCCCTCGTCGTCGAGACGGAAGATTCCTAAGCCACCCAAACGGACTGTTGCTCCATCGATCCTGGTCTTGGATGTAATCGATTTTTAAGTTGGCAGCAATTGTGGAGAGATGGTTGACGTCGTGATCCTGAATGTGCTGCGTCATCACGGTGCACCTAAAACAGTTTTGGCGCGGTTTCTTCGGGGTCTCGAGGAAGCAAGTCGTCGCCCCTTATTTTCACGATACCACAGTGTGCTAGGCGACGTTGCATCACCTCCACCGCCTCGACATTATTGTCGATCAAAGTGAACTCCCGGCCCTCCCGGTAGGCGGCCTCGCCGAGGGTGCCGCTGCCGGCGAAGAAGTCGAGCAGGTGGTCGCCGGGGTTGGAGTGGACGCGGACGATGCGGCCAACGATGGCGAGAGGCTTCTGGGTGGAGTAGCCGGTCTTTTCTTTGCCGGTGACAATGGTATGCCACCAGGTATCGGTTGGGGTCTTGCCGCGCGCGGCCTTCTCGGGGCCGACCAGGCCGGGGGCCATGTAGGGGATGCGGTCCATGGCGTCGTAGTTGAAGGTGTAGTGTTTAGGATCCTTGGCGTACCAGAGGATGTTGTCGTGCTTGGCCGGCCAGCGGGTCTTGGGGCGGCCGCCGTAGTCGTAGGCCCAGATGATCTCGTTGATGAAGGACTCTCGGCCGAAGATTTCGTCGAGCATCACCTTGCAGTAGTGGACCTCGCGGTAGTCGACGTGGAAGAACAGGCTCCCGTGGTCGTCCAGCACCCGGTAGGCCTCCTCCATGCGGGGGCGGAGGAACCCGATGTAGTCGTCGAAGATGTCGGCGTACTCGCTGGAGCCGACGACCTGGGTGCGGTAGCGGCGGCCCTGGAAACCGGTGCGGTCCCCGTCGGGGTCCGGGGTCACCCGGATGCGGGTGCGGGATTGAGACTTGCCGGTGTTAAAGGGAGGATCGACGTAGATCAACTGGAACGTGCGGTCGGGGAGCGTCCGCAGGACATCCAAATTGTCGCCGAGTATAATCTCGCTCATCCCGTGCCTCCAACGCGAGGCCGCATTTATCCCGTGCGCCAATAACAGGCGTCAAACCGCCCGCCACAGATCAGGTGAGACCAATGACCCAGAGCGATCTAACCCAGAACAGCCATCCCGCCGGGCCACTGGCCGGCGTCAAGGTGCTGGACCTGACCCAGATCATGGCCGGCCCGATGTGCACCATGCTGCTGGCCGACATGGGGGCCAACGTCGTCAAGGTTGAGCGGCCGGGCACCGGCGACGACACCCGCCGCATGGGTTCGCGCCTGACCCCGGACATCGCGATGGGGTTTCTGGCGCTGAACCGTAACAAGCGCAGCATCGCCCTGGATCTGCGCGCGGACGAGGGCAAGGCGGTGTTCCGGCGGATGGCGGAGACGTCCGACATCGTGGTGGAGAACTTCCGGCCGGGCGTTATGGATCGACTGGGGCTGGGATACGAGGCGCTGGCGAAGATCAACCCCAGGCTGGTTTACGCCAGCATATCGGGGTTCGGCGGGACCGGGCCGTATCGCAACCGGGGCGGGTTCGACCTGGTGGCGCAGGG